GCAGCACCATCTCCCCTGCAGTGGCACTCGCTGTCGCGGGAGGAGCAGGCCAAGTACTACGAGCTGGCACGGAAGGAGCGGCAGCTGCACTCGCAGCTCTACCCGACCTGGTCGGCGCGGGACAACTACGTACGTACCATCCCCACATGGGCCTCCTGCATGGCCCCTCTCCTGGGGGAGGGGGCTGCCTGTGCTTGGGGGGGCAGTGTTTGGGGTGCTGGGGGTGGTGGGTGGTAGTGGGACATCGAGAATACCACCTCAGTGTCACCTGATTGTCACCCTGTGTCACCCATGCTGGTGTAACCCTGACCAGGATCCCAGACATCCCCTCAGTGTCATCCCAATGTCACTGCACACGCTCTGGGGCAGTGCCAGCCCCATTTCCCACCACCAGCAGCCCCTATAGTAGCCAATAACCACGGCAAAACCTGAAATCATCTTTTCCAGGGCAAGAAGAAGAAACGAAAGCGCGAGAAGCTGGCGCAGCAGCAGAGCCACGACGCGGACAGTGAGTGCCCCTCCCCTCAGCCTCCCCCTGCCCACCGGGCTCTGCCCCTCACACCCTGCCCTGCCTGTCCCTCCAGGCTCCCTGCCCTCCAAGAGCAAGAAGCCGTGTGTGCCGTACCTGCCGGCCGAGAAGCCGTGTGCCAGCCCAGCCTCATCCCACGGCAGCATGCTGGACTCTCCGGCCACGCCRTCGGCAGCGCTGGCCTCTCCGGCCGCGCCGGCCGCCACCCACTCGGAACAGGCGCAGCCGCTCTCGCTCACCACCAAGCCAGAGGCCAGGGCTCACCTCGCCGTGCATTCCACCATCCTCACCAGCAAAGCCTCCTCTTCTTCTTCCTCYTCYTCCTCCTCTTCCTCCTCCTCCTCCTCCTCCAGCCTCAGCAGCCCCCCCTCGCTCCTGTCCAGACCCATCCCCTTCTCCTCGGTGCCCCCCTCAGCTCTCCTGTCCTCACCCCCTGGTTCCATCCCGGCTGCCCTGGCTGTGCTGCAGACACAGCCCCTCTCCCTGGTCACCAAACCTGCTGACTAAGGGAAAAGCCTCGTTGCCCCCTTGCCCTGCCGTCCCCTCTCCGCTGTACATTGCAGAAGCCACAATCAAGATTCAAACGCAGCCAAAACCATTATTGGTCAATATTTGACCCTTTCTGAACTCTTTGGAAGCAGACTCTAGAGGAAGGGGCTTTCTGCTCAGAGCTGCTGCCAGCAGTCGACCTAAAGACTGTTTTTATTAAAAAAAAAGGAGAAAAAAAAAGGAAAAAAAAAAATAAAATAGACCCTCCACAAGCTGCCGACGATGGGAATCTCCGTGGGATGAACCAAGTGCACGAGGCTGCCTTGGGGCACAGGGATYACACCCGCACGGTGATGCCAGCACCAAACACGGCAGGTGTTGAGCTAGAGCTGGCACTCCATCCCAGATCCAGGAGCAGGAATGCCTCCAGCTGCTCCCAAATCCTCCCATCCTGCTCCCATCCCTGGCTCCCACCTGCCAGGAGCTGGGTCCTGCCCCGGGGATGCTGCTCCGTCGGTGCTGCCCCTGCCTGYGGTCGTGCTGGGCTGGGCAGGCTCTGGGGCTGAGCCCTGGGAGGGGTTGTTTTTATCACCTCAAAATCCCGTTATTTTTCACAAAAGGAAATAAAACTCCAGCTGCAGCCTGCTGTGTGAGTGTGGTCCATGGGGGAAGCACTCGCTCCCTGTCCATTGCCCCYTTCCTGGGAAATATCTCAGGATGGAACTCCAGTCCTGCTCCAGGGGTCCAGCACCCCACAAACACCTCTGTCCACGGGCACAGGGGGATTCTGGGGTGTCCATCAACACTTTGCTGGAGTGATCCAGGCATCAGGACACRGCAGGATTGGGTGAAGCAGTTCAGGAGGTGCCTGAGCAGCCAGGGAGTGGGAGTTATTGTTGGGTGCTCTGTGATTGCTTCTTCCAAACCAGGCATGGAAGGGTTGGGGTGAAAAAGGACCAGCACRAAACCAACCCAATGGATTTTCAACCCACCTGGAGTCCTCCATCTGTTCATTACTTGGGTGTACCAGGACTCTTCCCTCTCCTGGTATTTTAAAGGGAAAAGCTCTCCATTTTTCCACTGGAATGCACAATTTTGTTTCTGTTGCAGACTGGCTTGGAGCTGCACCTGCCCAGAGCTTATTTATGGGATTCACAGTCCTGTTCCATCCCCCTCTGGAGTTTCCTGCCCTGTTCCTGTTTCCCAGGCCCAGCCTGGCTGCTTTCCACCCACACCCCTCCTGCATTTTGGGGACCACTGTGTCCCCCAGTTCCCAGCTGTGGCAATGGCAATGTCCTGAAAATCGGTGATGGGTGAGCCCATCCTGCAGCTGGTGGGTCTGGTGGGGCTTTGCCTCATTTTGGGGGATCAGTGACATTTTTTSCTCCTGTTGTGACATTCCTCCTTTCCAGTGCTGAGAAGCCACCAGGGAAGTGTTTGTAAGGAACAAGTAGACAGGAAAGGGAATTTCATGGTGATTAACGAGGATTTATCTGGTTTTTAGAAATGTGAGAGGTTGGCATCTATATCTGCAGCAGATGACACCTGGATTTGAAGATTTTCATATCAGAGCTGACAAAACAACAAAAACTCACACCTGAACAGGGCCCCAGCTATGGGTGCAGAGCTGAGCCCTGGTGGGGACACACCTGGGGCCAATGCCAACTCCCAAAACCTTGTGGAAGCTCCTGATGCCTTTGCCTCTGCTGCTGCGCCAGCTTCTTACACTTTTATTTCTTTTTCTTGCCCTGGAAAAGATGATTTCAGGTCCTTCCATGGCTTTTGGCCACCATAGGGGTGGTGGTAAATGGGGCTGGCACTGTCTCAGAGCATCTGCAGAGACTCAGCATCACCACTCACTGCCCTCAGCACCCCAAACACCTAGACCAGCAGTGGGACCACAAGCGTGGCTTCTCTACCCAGCTCAGGACCATTATCTGAACAGCTGAAATTCCCAGCTGGGAGAACCCCAGAGCTCCCAGAGTCATTGCTCATAGGGGCCCTGGCAAGCTGGGAGCAGCGAACTCAGCCAGCGCAGCTTCTGAGTGCCACCAAACCCTCCTGAGCATCATTACTGTTGTCACACCCAAGACAACCCCAAATTTGGGAGGTGTTTCCATTGCACGCTCCAAATTATTTAAATTTCTTTCTTTCAAAGGAAAAAAAAAAGGTGTAAATTCTGGAATAGGGTGTGATTCCTCCTCGGAAGCACCCGGGAGGACCGGCCACGTGTCACGCAGTCGTGCGAGCACCAGGGCGAAGGGGATTASGGTGTCACCCAAAACGTGCATGGCCATTACTTGAAAAGAGGCAAAACGGGGCTTTTTTGAGAGAAACTGTTCCAAGAAACTGGTTTTGGTGAGGAACGCCTGGACGACATGCGGTCCCRCTCTCCCCAACACCAGGAGCAGGCTGTGGACAAACAACTCCTTGAATTGGATTTCATGGGAAATTAGAGGCATGAAGGGACCTGTCACAAGGATTAAATCTGAACCAGAGCCAGACAGCTTCAAACAGATGTTGGGCTTCAGCAGGAGAATATTCCTTTGTTTTACTCAGCGTTTTCCCATACGGAAAAGGAACATCTGTTCTGATGCTTTCGCGGTGCCCTGGAGCTGAGACAGGGTGGGATTATCCCTGCCAGAAGCAATTGGTCACCAAACCCTCCTGGCCTTGCTGCTCTTGGGGAAGAGGATGAGACCTGGGATGCGTTAATCCAGTCTTGGGTGGACCCACAGGAGCTGTCATGGTTGAAAAGATCACGGGATCAATATATCCCTCACGCCTGCAGCAGCACAGCTGGATGAAAATACTGGGTTATCCATGGAAAATGGGTCCTTTTGGATTTTATCTGTCCCCTGGGAAGTGCTTCCACAGGAGGTGGAGTCACTCTGCCCATGGGAGAGGACTGGGCCAAGCTGATCTTTAAGGTCCCTTCCAAACTAAACCATTCCATGATTCTAGATGAGGAAAACTCTGAGGATCCTCTAGATGAGGATCTCTCATCTTTGCTGCAGAAAAAAAATGATATGTAGTGCGTTTTCATTTGGGATACTGGGACAAAGAGGTCTGGTGGTCTCACTGCTTGGTTTTGGATAAGTTTTAGGCAATATTYCTCATGATTTAACTTGTCCTCAGAGCCAGGAGGTGAAATGGAGCCAGGTTGTGGGGGGCCTGGGATGCTCCCCAGCAGTGTTTGGCTCTCTGGAAGTACCTAAAGGGGATCCAAGAGAAYGGTAGAAGGACATGGGACAAGGACCTGGAGYRACAGGACAAGGGGGAATGGCTTCCTACTGCCAGAGGRCAGAGTTGGATGGGATATTGAAAAGAAATTCCTCCCTGTGAGGGTGGGGAGGACCTGGYACAGGGGGCCCAGAGAAGCTGTGGCTGYCCCTGGATCCCTGGAASTGTCCAAAGCCAGGCTGGAAAGGGGTTGGAACAACTTGGGAACAATGGAAGGTGTCCCTGCCTGTGGCAMRGGGGTGGGACAGGATGGTTCTTGAGGTCCCTTCAAACCCAAAYTGTTATTCCACGATTTCATTTTTCAAAGTTGTACCAAAGCCTCCCAGTTTTGCAGCCAAAAGCCCCATGGTCCCTTGAGAAATGAAGCGCTGCCCCTGCTCTGTGGATGCCTGGTTTTCCACGGGGTATATCCCAATCACATCCAGAGCAGGGGAAAAGGTCAGGAGGGAACCAAATGGAGCATCAGCAGCAGAAGGAAGGAATAGCACAGCGTGAAGAGAGGTGGGACAGCTGGATCACGCCAGAGCTGAGAGGCACCAAACAGCTGGAACAGGGGTCAGCATGGCYGTGGCAGGGTCCCCATGAGAGCTGGGAGCATCTGTGTGGATGGATGATGGGCCTGGGACTGGAAATGAGCAGCTGCCTCCTTGGTAAATCACCTTCACCATCATCAGTGCCCGTTCCCTGAGTCAAACAAAGCTTGGGAAGTGCCTGAGGTTTTCTGCGAGGAGAGGAATTGCTGCAGGGCTGGGTTTGGGGTGGAACTGGATCCCTACAAGTGCCCAAGGCCAGGCTGGATGGGGCTTGGAGCCACCTGRTTTAGTGGAAGGTGGCCCTGCCCATGGCAGTGGGGTGGAATGAGATGACCTTTTAAGATCCCACCCAACCCAAAWCATTCCCTGATTCYATTTTCAACCTTTTCAGGTTGAAAACCTTTTACAAACTGAAATCCACCCCCGCAACCCCCCTSAGGCCACAGCCACCGTGGGGTTTATTGCCGGGAGCTGGCTAACGCCTCGTTAAGAGCTCATTGGGAGCAAACTCCTGAGACCGCTGGGAGCATCTGGGAGCCAGCTTGGAGCTTTCCCGCCTGGTTTTTGGACACGGGCTCACTTCTATCACCTCTGCCCGATTGCTTAATTGCAGCCACCTCCCCGCCCTTCCCCACCCCCCTCCCTCCCCAATCTTTCCCCCACCCCCCGCAGGCTGGCCAGGCACTAATTGAAAAGCCTAATGAGGTCCCAGGGGTCTCCTGCAGAGATGGAGCTAATTAGGGGCTCCACCACGAACACCGAGGTTTCTTCAAACCTCTTTTTTTTCAGGGGCCGGAGGGGAGGGTGCACCAGATGTCCTGTTATCCCRCTCTGCACCGGGATAAGGCTGGTGCTCCACGTTCTCCGGGCTCCTGCCAAAGCAGCTGGTGCAGAGGCAGTGGCTACACTTAATACATTTTAATTAGCATCATTAAATTCTTCCATTTGCTAATTGTTTCTCCTTTTGATCCTTTATCCTGACCAGATTAGCCCTCAGGGAGAAGGGGCGGGATGGGGGATGCAGACATGTCGGACAAGGTGAGGACTTCATTATCTTGACACCAGACCTTGGGACAACACGTTAAATCACCCCAATTAGTGTTAATTAGGGCCAGATTTGTGTGTCCAGCCTGCTCTTGGTGGCTATTCTCAGAAAGAATCATCCCCAAAAAATGAATCCACACGGATTTATGAGAGTAGATGGCATCACTCCAGGAGCACCCCAAAACTGTGCTGAAGCTGGGATGTTTCACCTGTCATTCAGGTGAAAACGTGCTGAGGTTTTGGGGTGTCCTGTGCAGGGCCAAGAGTTGGACYCRATGGTCATTGTGGGTCCCTTCTGAYCTGGAATATCCYAYGATTCCACGATCCCATGGTCCAGGACTGGTGGCTGCCATCACCCTGGCTTGGCCACGTTGCGAGAGACACGAGGTGAGGTGAGGTCACTGGTCCTGTTTATCCTGTTTGATCCCAAGAAAAGTGTTGGATTCCGATGGGAGCCACCAGGCTCTGGCTGATGTCAGCCTCATCCGTGGTATTTTGGGCACAGCTCCATTCCCAGAGGCATTGTTGTAAATCCAGAGGAACTTGGCCTCTGCTCAGTCACTCTTGACTTCCAGGGGGTGAGTGAAAGCTGAGCATGTGAAACAGTCTCAGTTCTCTGTTTAAATCCCAAAAACGCATTGGGCCAATTGTCCTGCTCTCCTTGGAAAGGCTGGCATGGGCAGAGCCAAGCAGCAGGGATTGCTGGAATGTGTTGAATTGAATTGAGATTCCCCAGAGATCGGGGGGAAAAAACATAAGAGAAGAAAATTAACATCTTCTGCCACACTCCAARGCAGGATTATCCTCCAATCACTGTGTGAGATTCAGTCGGTTTCCATGTGACATTTTTCACATGTTTTAGGGTTAAAGGAGTGACTGGAGCAGCCAATGGATCMATGAAAAGTTGTGATTCCTTCTGGAGACAGGCAAGGTTTAGCTGTGTCTAAGGTTCCATGGAAGGTGTAACCAAAGCAGTCTGTGTTCTATCACCATCTCCATGAGCTGTTAAACCAGGGTGGGCAGAGCTCTTTATGCTCAGCATGACCCAGCCCTGGTAACACCTCTGGGGGCCATCTCTGCTCATGGGCCATGGAGGGCTCTGGGAATGACCCCTGGAATTCCATCATCCCATTGGGAGATGCCCCACACAAAAAGGAGGAACTGCACATCCCTACTGGCACATAAACTGAGGCTCTGGAACATTGGGACACTTCTCCCACTGCATTCCCAGAGGAGAGGAGCTCCAGAACCAGCCCTGGACCTGCAGAGATGGACTGGACCTGTCTGCAGGATCAACGCTTGGACGAGAGCACATCCATCACTGCAACAGGGCTGCAGCACCATTGAACATTGAACATTGAACATTGAACAGATCACATCCATCACTGCAACGGGACTGCACCACCACTGAACATTGAACATTGAACAGAGCACATCCATCACTGCAACGGGGCTGCAGCACCATTGAACATTGAACATTGACCCAGAGCACATCCATCACTGCAACGGGGCTGCAGCACCATTGAACATTGAACACTGAACATTGAACACTGAACATTGACCCAGAGCACATCCATCACTGCAACGGGGCTGCAGCCACCATCCAGCAGGTTCTCTCTCCTCTGAGAAAATTTTTGACCCAGCAGGTGAAATACAGCTGGGAGACAAACACAGGTCACATCAATCACTGCTTCAGGACACCCAGTGCCATTGTCACCGTGGTGGTGGCACCTCAAGGACCTGAGGCCATCAGATCACCTGAGGAGCTCAGCTCCAGGCTCCAGACCCTGGAGCTGCCCAGACTGTAGCAGAGGGATGACAGAAATGAATGGCAGGGAGAGTTGGGAATCTTTCTACATTTTTATTTCATCTGCATCGAGTACAGGTGGGTTTGTGTTCCAGACAGCAGAGCAGCAGAAGCTTCTGGAGGAGTCCAAAAGAGGCCATGGAGATGCTCCAAGGGCTGGAGCCCCTCTGGAGCCGGGCTGGGAGAGCTGGGGGTGCTCACCTGGAGAAGAGAGGGATCCAAGGAGAGCTCAGAGCCTCTGCCAGGGCCTAACGGGGTTCCAGGAGAGCTGGAGAGGGGCTGGGGACAAGGGATGGAGGGACAGGACACAGGGAATGGCTTCCCACTGCCAGAGGACAGAGTTGGATGNGCTGCAGCCACCATCCAGCAGGTTCTCTCTCCTCTGAGAAAATTTTTGACCCAGCAGGTGAAATACAGCTGGGAGACAAACACAGGTCACATCAATCACTGCTTCAGGACACCCAGTGCCATTGTCACCGTGGTGGTGGCACCTCAAGGACCTGAGGCCATCAGATCACCTGAGGAGCTCAGCTCCAGGCTCCAGACCCTGGAGCTGCCCAGACTGTGGCAGAAGGATGACAGGAATGGATGGCAGGGAGAGTTGGGAATCTTTCTACATTTTTATTTCATCTGCATCGAGTACAGGTGGGTTTGTGTTCCAGACAGCAGAGCAGCAGAAGCTTCTGGAGGAGTCCAAAAGAGGCCATGGAGATGCTCCAAGGGCTGGAGCCCCTCTGGAGCCGGGCTGGGAGAGCTGGGGGTGCTCACCTGGAGAAGAGAGGGATCCAAGGAGAGCTCAGAGCCTCTGCCAGGGCCTAACGGGGTTCCAGGAGAGCTGGAGAGGGGCTGGGGACAAGGGATGGAGGGACAGGACACAGGGAATGGCTTCCCACTGCCAGAGGACAGAGTTGGATGGGATATTGGGAAGGAATTGTTCCCTGGGAGCGGGGGGGACGCCCTGCCACAGGGCGCCCAGAGAAGCTGTGGCTGCCCCTGGATCCCTGGAAGTGCCCAAAACCAGGCTGGATGGGGCTTGGAGCAACCTGGAACAGTGGAAAGTGTCCCCCCCATGGCAGGGGTGGGACCGGGTGGGCTTTAAGGTCCCTTCCAAGCCAAATCACTCTGGGAGTCCATGAGTCTCTGAAAAGCTGGATATTTAGTCCAGAGTAGAGAGATGTAACAGTCAAAACCAGATGAAAGGAAAGCACTGAACAGTCCTGGATGTCCACAAACAGATATGGCCAATTTCTTGCTGCTGCTGGGAATCGCTGCTGTCAAACAGAACATGTTCACTTGGGCCAAAAAGAAAAACAAAAGGTTATCGAGAAAATTAAATAGTATATGAAAAATAACACGTTATCCACAAAATTAAATAAAATCCAAAAAACAACAGGGTATAAAAAAAGAAATGATATAGATAAATACCAGGTCATCCAAAACTAGCAGGTTCTCCAAAACAGTCCTGAACCAAAGAAAATAAACCAGCCCTGATTTCCTGCCTGTGACCCCCAGCCTTGCTCCCTCCAGAGCCAGGAGTGCACTCCCAGCACCCATCTGGGGCCGCTACTCACTAATTCCCCACCCTGGAGTCGCAGCGCCCACAAACACACCCCAAACCGGCGCATTTTACCCCAAAAACCTGCTGTGACCTGACAGGGGTCCGAGCTGCAGCGGGCCCGACACCCGCCAGGGGGCGCACGGCGCTGCCCAGTGGGACCGCGGGCTCCCCAAGCCCCGCCCCCAGCCGACACAAGCCCCGCCCCCAACTGGCATAAGCCCCGCCCCCAGCCGGCACAAGCCCCGCCCCCAGCCGGCACAAACCACGCCCACAGCCGGTACAAGCTCCGCCCGCAGCCAGCACAAGTCACCCCCACAGCCGGCACAAGCCCCGCCCCCAGCCAGCATAAGCCCCGCCTCCAGCCGGCACAAACCACGCCCACAGCCGGCACAAACCACGTCCCAACGACATCGCCCCGCCCACAAAACCCCCCTCATCGCAAGCCCCGCCCCTTTTGCGTACCAAGCCCTGCCCACGCACAGAGCCCCGCCCAGTGTCTTAAGCCACGCCCCCAGATTATATACAAACGTCGCGTAAAGCCCCGCCCCGTCCTTTAGCCCCGCCTAGTCCCACATAGCCCCGCCCACCCCTTTGGCCACGCCCCGTTGCCGTCGAGCCCCGCCCCATCGCGGTCCGACCCGGGCGCTGCTCTCGCGAGATCYGTTCCCGGAAGCGGCGCTGTGGGTCGGTGCGGTCTGAGGGGTTCGCTCGCCATGGAGGCSTCGCGTCCGCTGCTGCTGCTCCTGCTGCTCCTGGGGCTCTGCGCCGCCCGCGCCGCGGGTGAGGGGCTGCCGGCATGCGGGGCAGGGCTCCAGGGAGGCTCCGGGGAGGGACAGCGGCCAGAGAGCGCTGGCAGGGGGCAGGAGGGGGCAGCGAAGGCCRGGGGTGGGTCAGGCACCGCTCTGGGTTGGCGGGGCCTCCTCTGCCCTGGTGTGAGGGGGTTCCTTGCGGTCTGCAGCGTTCGGTTAGCCGGGGGTTCCCCGCTTCCCCTCTCGGTAGCTCCCATCCCCCTCGCTCCCCTRAGGTCCTTCCTCTCCCCCTTTGCTCGCATCTGTCCCTGTGGATTCCCCCCGGCTCCTGTGGGGTTTTTCCTCTTCCCCTGTGGGTTTTGGTGGTTCTCTCCGGGGATTTCCCCACTGCTCTTCAGCTCTCAGCCCCCCAGCACCGACTGACCATGCTCCCCGTGTTTTCCCACAGCCGATGGGGATCAAACAGATCCTGTGAGATCTTCCACAGGCTCTAACKCACCCCAGTCACCTGGAACCAGTGACAGCCAGGAGCACGGTGGGACAGAGCAAAAGGGGACGCCCTCAAAGAACACAATAGACCACCAAGAAAAATCAAACAACGGCGACCCCAACACAGACACAAACAGTGGGACCAGTACAGGTGAGAAGCAGACACCAGACGACAAACAGAAGAATGGAAGTTCTGTAAACGGCAAAACTGATGACAAGGAGAACAAAAACGTCCCACAGAATGACAACAGCCCAGGTGGCAGCGTGAGCACTGCTCAGGGCAGCAAAGATGGAACTGATGCGAGCAGCAATGCAGGAGGTGGGGCACMAGGAGATGGAGGCCAGAACAGCAACGGTGGTGACCAAAGCAACACAGGCAGTAGTGGCACTGGTGGTGGGGGCAGCACTGGCGATGGCACTGGTGATGGCACTGGTGGCAAAGACAACACTGTCAATGGCGCTGATGGCCAGGGCGGTACAGGCAGCAGCACTGGTGGCCAGGGCAACAATGGCAACAACGCTGGTGGCCAGGGCAACAATGGCAATGGTGCTGGTGGCCAGGGCAACAATGGCAATGGCACTGATGGCAAGGGCGACAATGGCAATGACACTGGTGGCCAGGGCAGCAATGGCAATGGCGCTGGTGGCCAGGGCAGTACAGACAGCAGCACTGATGGCCAGACTGGCAACAACACCAAGGAGCAAAGCAACAGCCAGAGCAGTAGCAGCAACAAGAACAAACAGGATGGCAGCGAGTCACAAAGCCTCCAGAATGAGGGCACCAAAGATGACAACAAGGAGAACAAGGCTGGCTCCGGCAAGAGCRGTGACAAGGACAAGGAGAACACAAGTGGGAGCAGCACCCAGGACAGCAGCAACAAGGACCAAAGTGCCAACCCAGGCAGCAGTGACAGGAACGGGGCTGGCACGCAGAGTGGCGAGACCGGTAACAGGGACACCAATGGGGGCACCAGCCAAGGTGGCAGTGATGGGCAGCAGASTGAGACCCAGGGCAGTGCAGGTAATGAGCAACCATCCAACCAGGACAACGAGAACAACTCCCAGGAGGACCAAAACCCTGTGTCACACTTGGCTCCCTCCTCTGTGGAGGGCGACGGCTTTTTGGAAAATGAGGAAAACGCTGGAGAGGAGATGGCAGAGGCTGAGGAGGGCAGTGACACCTCCTTGAATCAGGACAGTGGGAAAAGCATTCCCTCTTTGCCCAGGGCCCACTCAGAGAGCAGCCACTTCTTTGCCTACCTGGTGACCACAGCCCTCATTGTCGCAGCCCTGTACGTGGCCTATCACAACAAACGAAAGGTGAGCAGCCCTGCTCGAGCCCTGAGGTTTGGGGTTGGCACCCACTCAGTTCTTTCCCCTCATCCTGGCTGAGGGATGTTTGATTCATGTGGAAGAGGGGTTGTGACCAGGAAAGGGGGCAGAACTGGTGGAAACTGGGTGTTGTCAGCTCTGCTGCTGATTTTCAGCTGAGAGGTGAAAACACGAAGGGGTGTGACATCTCTATGTGTTTTCYCTGACGGTTCCTACTGACAATTTTYAGTAGCAGGTTGCACGAGACTGGGGTTGTTTTTCCTCACATAAAACTGGTTTTGAGGAAGGAAAAAGAGAASAAATTCTTGCTGTTTTCTGCTTGTTGAGCAAACCTCATTCTCCATCTTAGCTGAGGTCGAGTACTGGCATTCACRTATTTCAAGTGCTTTGTTACAGGAAAAGGGGTTGTAGGAGCAGGTGAATGAAAAACTACAGGTGAGACWCTGTTGGAAGCTGCTGTCCCACTCATCCTGTGTCCATTTTTCTCTCTCCAAAGATCATTGCTTTTGCTCTGGAAGGAAAAAGATCAAAAACTGGTCGACGGCCCAAATCTGGTGATTATCAGAGACTGGATCAAAAGGTGAGACCCAGCCCAAAGTGGGGGTTGGTGTGCCCAGGGAGTGTTGGAAATACAAAATATTGGCTCTTTGCATTAGAAAGGGTCCCAAAGCCCCAACTTAGTCAGTTTGGGGAAGCAGAGTTTGCTGTGGAGGGTTTTGCCAGGAAATGGAAACAGCTGGCAGAGCTGAAGCAGGGCAGAGGTCAGGCCTGGGCTGTGCTGAAAGACTTTGTCACTGATCCAAATGATTTGTCAGAGAGGTTTTTAGTGGGAGAAGGGTCAGATTTGTGGAGAAATCCCTTTATTTTCTCCTTCTTTTTTCTACCTCTTGCTCTTCAAGGTAGATATGTGCCTGTAATTACTTTCTGCTGTGGGAAGAGGAAAGGTAGGACAAGAAAGGCAAGAGCTCATGTTTGCTTYGGTAACTCCTCAGCCTGCTCAAGTCTGGATAGAGCAGCAAAGCAATTCTGAGCTTTCAGGTAGTTCCAACCTTTCCTTTTGTCTTTCCAGATYTAGATTCCTCCTCAGAAGGGCCGGTGATGGGAATACTGTGCTGCCACAGTTGGATTTCAGTCCACRGGAAGGAGAGGAAACGCTTTTTGTTTTGCACCTGCACCTTGATAAAACCTCTCACTTCCCTAAATTTCTCCTTTCCCAGCTGCCTTGTTTTCCCCTTGGGTGTCTGGCTGCTGGAAAAGCCAGTCCCAGAACTGCACACCCAGAACTTGTGTGTCCCAATGCAATGGAATTTGCCATCTGCTGGACTGACCCCTCCTTTTGCGGGGGGAAATTAAGGATCTGCTGCACAATGAGCCATGGGACTGTCCCTTGCCTGGGCACTGAGCTGCCTTGGTCTCCTCCTCCTCCTTCTCCATCTGTTGGGTTTGGATGCTCAAGTTGGGAGCATGTGAGTTCTCTTGCACTTACTTGGAATTGATCCACCACAGATTTGGRTTTGGGTTTTTTTCTCCCTGATGAATTTTCCAGTTTCACAACCAGATTCCCCTTTTTCACACACACCTTTGGCCATGCTGAAGCAGTTTTTGCTTACACCCTTTGTGCTCCATGCAGGTCTTTTCCCTCCCAGTCCTCCCAGTTCAGCTGTTGGCACTGGGGGTGTTGSTTGTGGTGTGGTGCTGTGGAAGAGGGGGTCACACCTGTGCCARGGGGTGCTCTGTGCCTTGTCAGGGATTCAGGTAGGAAAATTATTTCCTCCYCTTGTCAAACATAGGAAGGAAGGAATGTAAATCCCTGAGGAGTTTGGGATGAGTGAAATTCCCATCCTTCAGCCCCCCCAGTTGTGTTGGACTGGTACTGGTTGGACCAAGGGCTGCCAAAGGSGTTGGTGCCCCAGTTACACCTGTGAGGTGATTTTCATTCCTACATTCCACTCCCAAGGGGTTTGTTCAAGCCCGGATGTTTCTGGAGAGGGCACAAAGTACCTGCTTGGCTCCTACTTTGGATTTTTCCAGTACAGACAGAAAAAAATGGGTTTGGGGAACCCAGAGCTCCTCACATGGCCATCCAGATGCACCCAGATCAGGTGCCAGCTGTATGCCAGTCCACTTGACACCTGACTGCACGGGAAGAATCCCAGGATGGTTAAATTCCCTTCTGGGGAGCTTTTTTCCAGCCTCCCCAAACTTGGGAATCGGCTCGTGGTCATCTTGGACAAGGGTAAAGCCATTTCCTGGTCACTGTGAAAGCTGCAGCTCTAGTTTTGATTTTGTAATGGTTCATTCCAAGAGGGAAGAGAGGGTTCAACCTCTTCCAAACCCTAAAATTATCCTTTCCAGTTCTGCTTGCTCTTGGCAAGAACAAAGAGCCTGAGAGTCCCTCTTGGCTTTAAAGAGTTCTCAAAGTTTCCCTGGGAAACATCTAGGATGCCAAAAGTACTTCCAGGAGTTGTTTTGGAGAACAGGAAGTTGGAGGGAARGGAAACAGGACTGGGAATGTAACCCTTGGGGAAAAGGGTGGGAACCTCCTGCACCAAACCACCTTCTTCAGGGATTCTGTGGGATCTGCCAGGCTGGGGGAGCTGCTTTAGGGCTTCTTTAGGGGAGGAGGTCACTGGCTTTTGGCTGGTGACAGCRGGGGGACAAACCCTCTTCCAGTGTGTGGAATTCCGTGTGCTCCTGGGCTTCTCCGGCCAGGATTTTGGAGTGTGTGTGCTTTTTGGAGTGTGAGTCCTCTGTGCCTGCTTTGTCCTGGTTTTGTTTGCTTTTTTTTTTTTTTTTAATTGAACAATTTAGAAAGGTTTCTTTTTTTCACCATTTTTCTATGCCGGGAGCTGTTTCAAATCCTCTCTTGCTCCAGGTTGTGGGAATCCCACCCCACTGCCAACAGTGGAGGGAATAATTTGGACCTCAAATTATTGAGATCCCAGGCTGAGCCAGGCCACAACCTCACAGCTTTGGGAGATGCTGGGTCTGGGGAGAGACAGAGCTCACACCAGGCTGAACTGGGGGCTTTTCCCCCAAAATCTCCCTGGCAGCACTTCCTGAGGCTGATGTGCTACCAACAGTCCAGGCTGCCCAAAATGGRAATTGCTCCCAGTTTGTTTATATGGTATTTATGCAACGTGTCCCAAAAGGGTCAAGGTGCACAGAACCTTTTCCCTTTGGACACATGTGTTTTCCACAGGTGGTGTCTGTTGGTACAGAGCGGGTTTTTTGCCAAATACTCCTATTTTTTAGGCTTGAACCAGCACATGATTTGTTTTCTGCTGCAGTGAAATGCACCTTGCTTGGAAGGATTGGAATTTTTATAGTTCTTTGTACTGTTTTTTTTTATTTTCTGTGTGATGAAGTCAATAAATGGATTTAAAAAGACCCGAACCATCGAGTTTTCACTTCTCTCTCRGTTTGCTTTTTTTCACTTTCTTTGCATGGTTTCCATGAACACCTGCCACCAGAGGTGCAGGTTGGCTCCTCTTTATGCAAAACCCRTTTGATTTTGATAAAAACACTTGGTTTTGTGGAGCTGTTTGTGCTCAGAGCTCCGTGTGCAGCCGGAAGGAGCCCAGACAGGCCCTGACCAGAGCGGATTTGAAGTTTCCAGTCCTCTTTCCAGGGCCCTGTATCAGCCCAGCTCTGCGGGGCTGYCATGGGGTGGAGTGAGGTCAGGATCCAAGAGGAGATTAAATTGATCTGAACAGAGCTTAGTCATGAGCTCTCCTCTTGGATTTCTTCTTTCTTTCTCCCTCAGAGCCTCACARGGTGATCCCAGGACATCCCACTTGGTGAGTGAGAAAAGAGAGGAGAGTGGAAAAGAGAGTGGGAAGAGAAGGTGCCTGATCCCCCGTGGGTGATGAGGGCACATCTGGGGAGTGTTTCCTGCAGTGAGTGCAAGAAAGTTCCTCCTCTCCCTGCTGCCTTTTTTTCCCTGAAGGAGGAAACCCCACCTTCCATTCTCTCCTCCAGGCTGGGAGCGCTGGTTTTCCCAGGGATGGGGTTACTGACAGCTTGCAGGAGGGAAAAAGGGTTAAAATGAGGAATCAAATGAAAATTCCCATGGGGATGTAGGGTTAGGAGAGACCTTACAGACCCCCTAATTCCAAGCTTTGCTATGATGGGCTCAAATTTTGATTTCCCCAAAAACTCACTGAACCCCTKACCTGCTCTCACCCTGATTTGAGAGAGCTAGAAAAGTCCCAAAACACTTTGGGAGGCAGAGCAAATGTGGTGGGGAAGGAGCAGCCCCCTCAGCTCAGGTGCTGTCCCTGGGAGCATCCTGGGGGTGGGGAACAGGAGTAGAAATATTGTGAAATAAAATCCAGAAGGCTTTGGCAGCTGGGTTGGGCTGTGCTTATCGGGGCTGGATTGTTGGGACATTCTGATAGTTTAGCAGAGAGGCCCGGAGGGTGGAGGAGGTTTAATGCATGAGGAAACTGGGCGGAAATTGGGTGTGTGCCCTTCACCCCTCCGGCTCCTGCAGGTGCCTGGTGGGGATCAGGCTCTGCTCCCAAGGGAACAGGACAAGAAATGGCCCTGAAGCTGTGCCAGGGGAGGTTTCAGGTTGGAAGATTTCTCCAGGGAAATGGCARTGCAGGAGTCTCCATCCCTGGGGGGATTTAACAATCGTGGGGATGTGGCACTTGGGGACATGGGTCAGTTGGACTTAATGTTCTCAGGAGGTTTTCCCAGCACAAATCATTCTGTGGTTCTACGAAATACTCCCAGATCTACTGCCTGACCTCCASTCCAGATCCCCAGTGAACCCAAGCTGCAAACCCCGTTACCAACCCGGGTTTATTTTATCTTCTTTTGTTGAAAGCTTTGAATCTTGCACGGCCTCTGAGCAAACACGTGAACCCCAGCTGATCTCACAGCAGGTATTTTCCTTAGGGGCAAGGCACCAGCCAAGCAAACACATCAGCTTTGCCCCTGCCAGACAAATTCCGTGGCCTGGGAAGGTTTGTTTGGATTTTAAAAACACCAGAATTAATGAGATTGCATTTGCAAGGTTGGAGCTCATTGGGGTGAGAAAAGCAGGGGGAGAGGCAGGTTTGGGTGCCCTCAGAGCTGTGGGGAGAGGGTTGGGGTCACTGCACCCTTCTGTTCTGAAATCAGAGTTTCTGCTCTGCAGAGGGTCCCTGGGAGGAGGACCTGGCTCATTAAACCCTCCCCCCAACAGCTCTGGTGCCTACAGAGCTCCCMCTCCCAGAGGGATTTTTGGTTTGGTTTTCCTGTAACTTGTCTGTTGCAGATAAATAAAAACTTATTACAATTTATATTATTACAATATATTGTGCAATCTATTACAGTACAATATAGTGCAATACAATATATTACAATATATATACAAAAAAAATTACAATATTTATAATATTAACAAGGGCCTTGTTAATACCCTTGTTTACCCTTGTAAAACTCCCTCTCTCTTCCGTTATGTGAGAAAACCTGTGAGGAGAAAAACAATTAATTTCTACCCATGAGGATGTGGCATCAACAGAAGTAAGAAATTTAAACAATAGAAGGAGAAAAACAGCACCAAGGCTGCACCTGSTGTTTTTCTGAATGCTTGAATGCTTATGCTGTAGGTGACTGAKTGTTACCAATTAAATAATGGCCAATAAATAAAATAGTTAGCCAGCAAGTAATGGCCAATGAATTTATTGTGGTAGTTTGGTGGCTGATTAATATGTAACATGATTAATAACTTGYAAAAATATATGTGAGACTGAAGTTTGGAATAAACAGCTTTGGCCCTGCTTCATCCTACATTTTTTTTTTTTGTTTTGATGTGTCAGGGGCTCTCCCTTACCTGGGCTGCAGGTGAACATCACACTGGTCCAGGGAGGGAGGGGAAGGTAAAGATTCCAGCTGGAGCAGCCTCCAGGTCTGCACTGTCACGCTCCACACCCACTCCTGGTCCAATCTTCCCCCTGATAAGTCTGTGGGGAGAATGGTCACCTTGAGCTCCCCCAGATCTGCCCTCTGGGGGCCTTGGGGTCTCCATGTGGGCTTTGAACTCCAGACAAGAATTCATGGCTTGGGAGAGACCCTACAGACCACCCAGTGCCACCCCTGCTTCCACTSTSCCACRGTGCTCCAAACCTCATCCACCCTGGCCTTGAACAATTCCAGGGATCCAGGRGCAGCCWCAGTTTCTCTGGGAAACCTGTTCTAGGGTCTGAGCACTCTCACAGGTTAGGATTCCTTCCCAACATCCCATCTAAGCCTACCCTCTGTCAGAGGGAAGTCATTCTCCCTTTTCCTGGYCCTTCAGGCTCTCGTCCCAGGTCCCTGTCCAGMTCTCCTGGAGCCCCTTTAGGCATTGGAGGGACCCCCAGCTCTCCCAGTGTGGGGGAAAGGGGCTCCACAAGCCCTGAATCTGAAACTCAGCCAATTATTGTGTATGACTGAGGCCTGGGAAAAGAAAAGGAGTGTTAACAGCCTACGTGGAGGAGGAATGCTTCATCCTTGAGAAAAGCATATTGGAATGTAGAATTGATAACACAGGTAGCTGGAAATTATAAGCATTACTAATACTGTAGCTTTTGMAAACTCACCAATTATGTTCTGATTACTAATTAAACAGCTGTCTCTTGACCAATGTATGTTTGACACAAATGTATACTCTGGTTGCTAAAGTGGATAAAAGAGGCTTGTCCCACAATAAAGTCCTTCTTTCTCTCTGTTTTTTTCACCCACTTTTTGTGTGTTTTGTATCTATTATTTTTTTGTCGTTTGGCCAGCAGTGACATCCCAGCCTGAGGGGCTCCCACCTTTGGAACATTTCCATGGCCTCCTGTGGATTCAGAAGCTGCACATCCCTCTGGTGCTGGAGCCAGAGCTGGAGGCAGCTCTCACCTGGGGGTTCCTCTCGCCTGGCACCCAGAGCAGCCTCCCCAGTTCACTGCTGTGCCCAGCATGGATTCTCAGGGGGTTGATTCTGGCTGATTCCTGGGGGTCTGGCTGTTTGCAGAGCTCACCTTCTCTGCAGGTTCCATCCCATCACTCAATTAATTACCTCTTTGCTCAGTGATCTGATCCTCTTTGCTGGATCAGCCTTCAAGCCTATTTCCAGGGCTCCTTTCCAGCATGCTCGGTGACACCATTCCCTGCTCAGGAACCAGCTTGGGGCTTTTCTTTCTCCTACTCCATCAGCAGCTCATGGCTGAGCTCATCCCAGCCTTACCCTGAGGTGTTGCTGTCCCCAAATGTCACCGTGATGGGATCTCAGGTCAACTTCTTGGCAGAATGAGAGGACATAGACAGGGGAAATGTTGGTGGGATATCAGGAAAAAGATTTTTACAGMAAGAGGGATRAAGCACTGGGATGGTCTGCCCRGGGAGGGGGTGCAGTCACCATCCCTGGSTGTGTTTAACAAACATTGCATGTGGGGCTGATGCCRTGGGTYRGTTGASGTGTCAGGGCATGGGCTGAACTGGAAGATCTTGAAAGTCTCTTCCAACCCTGGTGATGCTGGGATACTGTGATCCTATGATCCTGTGATTCTGGAATTCTGAGATTCTGTGACTTTGTGATTCCATGATTCTGGGATTCTGTGATTTTGTGATGCTGGGATACTGTGATCCTATGATCTTGTGATTCTGGAATTCTGGAATTCTGGGATTCTGTGATTTTGGGATTCTGGAATTCTGGGATTCTGGGATTCTGTGATTTTGTGATTCTGGAATTCTGGAATTCTGGGATTCTGGGATTTTGGGATTCTGGAATTCTGGGATTCTGAGATTTTGTGATTCTGGGATTCTGAGATTCTGTGATTCCATGATTCTGGGATTCTATGAATTCATCTCCATCCAGCTGGTGTCTGGGAGGAATATCTGCTCCCAGCCATGTCCTGTGTCATGGCACACAGGGTGATTTCAGCCCCAATAATCCAAAGGATGCAAACCACTGGGAGAAATGGGGACACTGGGAGTGACTGAGCTGTACCCTGAAGGAGAGACGTGTGGGGATGGTGGGAGGCTGGGACAGGGGGGTTCCAGTGAGGCTTCAGAATCGGTGAAAGCATAAAAAAAGAGGTGTGGAGCATGAAAGAATTGGGATGGGTTATGGTGGGAAGCTGGGGAGTGAGGAAGGGATTGAGAAGGGACCAAAATCCACAACTGRACCAGATTTATAGTGGCAGCAGTTTAAAAGCTCATGCTGTGCCAGTTCTGCCCAAACCCAGCAAAAAGTGKGGAAATTCTCACCCAGCAGCTGCATTACCTGGACAAAGATGTTTGGGGGGGGTTTGGTGAGCACCGGGCATTGCTCCCATGATCAAATCTGGAAAATCTGTGTGAATTCTGTGGGCTTTGTGCTCACAGCAGCATCTCAGGGTGTCACAGGGGTGTGGGTCCCTGCCCCAGCCTCCAGGGAGGTGGGAGRCAGGGCAGAGTTGGGCTTTTTGGRGAATCATGGAATTGTTTGGGCTGGAAAAGCCCTCAAGCCCAGCCACTCTCCTGTCCATCCTAGCAGGGATGAGGGGAACAGGGGATGGATGGAACCACCAGGAGCACCCAGGGGATCCCTCCCAACCTTCCTTACTCTCTCCAAGTCATTTTCCMCCCAGGACCAGGGAATTGCTTCTTCCCAYSGCTGACCATGGGGAAAACAGCCTCMTCCAGCTTCCCCAGCCTTACTGCTTAWCCTGTCTGCTCCAGGCAGTGGAAGGGAGGTGAATCCAGCTGGTTTTCCTCGCTTGGATTYCCAGTTTATGGCAGTTCTGCAGTAATTCCTCCCCAAAACTGCACTGGTACAGGACAAACCTCCAGGACAGAGGCTTCCCAAGGATGGGGCTGCCCCTTCCCCTTTTCCCTTCTCATTCTGCTTTCCCTTCCCCTTCCTTTTGCATTTTTTTTCCTCCCTCCCAATCCCCAGCCCCACTGGGCCATCATGAGGCACAAACCCCRGGATCATTATCACTATTTTATTATTCCCAGTCTCATGTGCTTCCCTTCCCATCCAGAGAGGACTTTGATCCCGTTACCAAGCTTTCACCAGCAGACAGAAGGGCTTTGTTGCTGCTAAAGGAGCGTGYGCTTGTGCCATGGATGCTTTGGGGCCACAGGGGGAGAGCAGCACCCAAAGTGGGGTGGGAATGCCAGGGGGGTCAGGGTCCTGCTGCTCCCAGGAATGACTCTGGGAGCCTGCAAGCGCCACTGCTCTCAGACAGCTCTGGAGCTGCAGGTGGAGATGGAATTTTGCTGGGGGATGAAGGCGGAGGTCAGTGATCCTGATGGGATCAAGCAGCCGTGGGTGCTGCTGGGCCATGCTGGTACCTGCTGCTGCCACCTGCAAGTGTTATCTTGACTTCTCTCTTGGCCATGACTGCTCAGAGCAGCTCTTGGGGTTCCTCTGCGTGGCCAGGGACCAGCACTGCACATGATGGTGAAGGGGATGCATTTTTATTTTTTGTGGGGGTGAGGTTGAACACGATCTGTCTGGGAACAGGAACTGCATCTGCCTGGGTTGAAATCCCCAGGCTTCAGAGAGAGATGGATCTGCTACAGGTGTGAGATGACAGCTGAGAGGGAGGTGGGGGTGATGCAGTGGAGACAGGGGGTCCAAGCTGCTGTGATGGCTGATCTCAGTCTCCCTTCTTGGAGTTGGTGGCCTGCAAGCKCTTCTGCAGCCGCACCAGATCCACAAAGAGGTTGCGCTTGAGGACGGCGCTGGCACAGATGATGGCTCCTTGCAGGGCTCCCATGAAACCCCCCAGGCACAGATCCTGCCCTGCAAGGAGAGAGGAACCAATGTGGTCCCTGTGAGCAGCCCTCAGTCCCCATTCCAYCCCAGCCAGCCATCAGTGGTGGTTTGGGCATMACTTTCCCCACCTTCCACAACATCCCAGGAGTCTGACCCCACAGCCCTCTCCCTGTTTGGCCCTTCGTTCTCTCCAGCAGGAAAAGGGCATCATCCTGCCCTATCCTGCAAGGAGATAACCCCCCAGAGCWGGAGGAGCACAGCCCTTCCCTCCTCACCCCCATTTGGGACCACRCAACTCCACTTTCCCAGCGGTTCTTCAACTGCCCCACAGCATCACAGGGGCTCTTCCCTTTACTCCATTTCAGGATTGAAGGTTTTCTCCCCCCACATCCCTCTCCCCCAGCGCTGTCCCCATCTGACAACAACCCTGGCCCTGTCACCTGTCAGGTACAGGTTGGGCACAGGCGTCTGTGCCCGCAAGGCCGCCAGRACTTCAGCCTGCATGCGGGGGATGCCGTGGTCAGCGCCGTACAACTCGCCACGGGGACTGGCAATGTAGTGCTGGTTGGTGATGGGAGTCCCACCAGAGAGGTACTCAATCTGTGGGGGAACAGGGGACAGGGTGGTCTGCAGGGGTGGCAGGTCACTGCAGGAAGCTGGGTTTGGGGGGTACRGGCTGGGATGGGTTTCCTTGCAGACCCTGGGGTGCTGGTTCTGGCCATGCTGGGTCCCTGGATGGTTCTGAAGGGTCATCCAGGGATGGTCATCCAGGTCTGCCCAGGTTGGAGGGGGCTTGGAGCAACCTGGACTAGTGGAAGGTGTCCCTGCCCATGATGGGGGCTGGAACTGGATGAGCTTTAAGGTCRCTTCCAACCCAAGCCATGTGATTCCATGGTCACTGCCCTTGCACCGTGGGCAKGGAGGGGTTGGTGCCATGGGGCAGCTCCAGCCCCAGCCCCAATGCTGGGTGGGTAGAGGGGACCCAGAGAGGAGCTGGAGGACCCCTGAACCCCGAGTTTAGGAGCCCTGAACCTCATGTTTCCTCACCCGGCCCTCAATGCGAGGGTAGAGCTTGATGACAGTCTGCATGACGGAATCCACAAAAGCCTTCTTCAGATCCTCATAGTCATCCCCCCGCTTGTGGACCTGCTGGTCCTTCCACTCCTCAAACCACTCGTACCTGGCGAAGCTGACGATGGCCAGYGTGGATTTACCTGCAGGATGACAAGGCTGGGCCACTTGTTCCTCCACCCACCCTGTCACTGCCCCAAACCTGCCCCATCCGAACCCGGGAGATGTCCCCAGATCTTTGGGGTTCCATGTCCTTCACCCRGCCCCATGCTCAGCAGCTTTGATCATGGACAGCTGAGTGGAAACTCCTTGTCTGGGGTCACGAAGCCCCAACAAAASTTTTGAAGCATTTGTGGCCRGGTGTCAGCCRTACCTGGGTGCCTCATTTTCCYCAAACCCGCCCCACCCGAACCCRGGAGATGTCCTCAGATTTTTGGGGTTTGGGYATCACTTTCCCCACCTTCCACAACATCCCTGGAGTCTGAACCCCACAGCCCTCTCCCTGTTTGAYCCTTCATTCTCTCCAGCAGGAAAAAGGCATCATCCTGCTCCATCCTGCCTTGGGCAAGGAGATAACCTCCCAGATTTTTGGGGTTGGGTTCCAACAAGAGCTTTGAAGCTCCTCACAAGCATTTGTGGCTGGGTGTCAGCCGTACCTGGGTGCCTCATTTCCCAGGTGGGGTCCTTGGATGACGGCGAGGTGACAAACAGGATAGGGATGTTGTTGGCAGCTTCTTCTCTGGGCAAAGCCGCGTAGCGCTGCATTCTGCACRGAAGGGAAGGGTTGAGCTGGGGTTTGGTGCACACCTCACCCCAAATTCTCCTTATGGCCAAATCCCCATGGTCATCACCACAGCTCTGCAGCCCAGAGCACCTCCTCCCCCTCCTTTCTCCACCGACCTTGGTGTCTCCATTTTCCTTTTCACATGTCCTTACCTCCCTCCATCCCCCCCAATCTCTGGCTAAGGGCTATAAGAGCAGCTGCTGCTAAACTTGGTTTGGTTTCTTCTTAAATCTGTCATCATATGTCAGCACAGAGGTGTAACCAGCATCTCCAATTGGCCCAGGCTTGGCGAGCAGCATGTCCATCACCCTCAGAGCCATCAGAGACTGGCCCTACAACACAGCGGGGCAGGGCTCTTTTTGCTGGACATGATGAAGACTTCCAGAATCTTCTCAYTGGAGCCATTTTGTGGTCTCCATGGTCCCCACCCCCACCACTAAAAAACTGGACCAAGCAAAACCACCACACTGAGTCACTGCCCAGGAATTCATCTCCTTACGCTCAACGAAGCGCGTCCAAGATGAAACCAAACCTACATTCCATCCAGGTCACTCTCTGGGTACATGAAGTAGTTGATGGGCTGCAGTCCCAACTCTTCCCTCGAGCCATTGAGGCCAACAAAGACAGTGAAACCCGCCTCGCCGTGGGTCACCATGCTGAGCTGGGACTGGATCTCTGCAATGTRGAGGGAAAAATGGGAATTAGTCAGTTCTGGGGGAAATCAAGCTTTTCCAGAATCCTCAGCTAARAAAGAAGTGGTTTCTCCAATCCTTATCTGTTCCTACTAAACCCTGATCCTTTCCACCCACACAACCATCCCCCTTCCACCCAATTGGGACCCTTCCACTCATGACCCTTCCACCCACTCGTGACCCTTCCACCCACTCATGACCCTTCCACTCATGACCCTTCCACTCGTGACCCTTCCACCCACTCATGACCCTTCCACTCGTGACCCTTCTGCCTGTGATCCTTACACCCAATTGGGACCCTTCCACTCATGATCCTTCCACCCAATTGGGACTCTTCCACTCGTGACCCTTCCACTCATGACCCTTCCACTCGTGACCCTTCCACCCACTCATGACCCTTCCACCCAATTGGGACCCTTCCACCCATCCATGACCCTTCCCCCCATCCACGCCTCTTCCCCCATCCTCGCCCCTTGCAAAAGATTTTTGGCAATCCGCCTTTAAGCGGACATTCCGTCAACTTCCACAAATTTCAGGGCCCTGCGCTGTGGTTTTTTTTGGGAAATCCTTGCACCAAACCAGGACTTGGCAAACTACAGCCAGTTTGGGCCAATTAATTWAAGCTTCATTAAAGCCCCTGTGAAGGAATGAGCAGCCAGGGCTGGGTTTTGAGGGCTGTGGCACAGGAGCGACAGGAAGTTTGCTGATGTTAATTGATAGATCCTCTTTCCAGTGAGGATTAGGACGGGATTAACACCGTAACCCAGCCAGAGCCCAGTGCTGACGCCGTACCCGGCAGAGCCCGCGCCTCCGCYGGCAGCAGCCTCTCGTAGGTGTTGAAGATCCCAGCGTCCGAAATGATCACAGGAGCRAAGATGTCCACCAAATCCTGGCCTTTTTTGACACTCACACCTGGGAGGGAAAATCCAAAAGGGGGAAGAATGAGGTGAAAGGAACCCCACTTTGGGGGAGCAGCCCCACACCCCGTCCTAGGCTGGTGCTCACCACAAGCTTTGCCCTGGGGGTCCAGCAGGATCCTCTGCACCGGTGCCTTCCCAAACACGTTGCCTCCAGCCTTCCGGATCGTGGAAATGGTGTGGAAGACGATTTCCCCAGACCCGCCTTTGGGGTACCACGCACCGTGGAGGAAGTGGTCCACCAGGATGCTGTGCATGGAGAAGCTGGCCTTGGAGGGGATCACACCTGGGAAAAAAGGCAGCCCAGGTGGGTTTGGGCAAATCATGGGCTTGGGGCTTATCCTAAAGATTTTAGGATGAAGAACACCCTGAAACACGACACTGGGAGGAAGGTGAGGAACCTGAAGGAGTAGGGAGGATGTCGGGCGTGCATGTCCAAGCTGATCAGGTCCTGGGGGGCTGGGAGCAAGCCCAGCTGATGGGATGGAGGGAAGGGATGCTCCAGGCTACCAGAGGAACATTCCCTTGCACAGGAATGCCGTTACCCCATTAGAAAGGTGAAGAATGCAGAGGGAAAGAGATGGAGATGAGCACGGGGGACACATCACCTGCTGGTGACTTGGGGACAAGGATGCTGGTGAAGCACCCACCACAGCATCCCTCACATGCAAACTTTCCAAAAGCATGGAAAAAAGGTGTTTCTTACTTTTTTCTGTTTCTAAACAGTTYAATATCACTCCCAGTTGTTGCAGATAAGTAAAACCTTATAAAACAGGGGCCCTGTGGCCCTTGCAAAACTCTGGCTCTCTCCTGTCACTTTGGCTAACCAGAGAGGGATTCTGGATATGATTAGCTYTTATTCRTGAGAAAAGCAGAAAAATAACAAATTTCTACTCGTGAGAATGTAGCATCAATAGAAGTGAGAAATCTAAAACAATAGAAGGAGAAAAACAGCACCTGGTGTTTTTCTGRATGCTTGAAYGCTTATGCTGTAGGTGACCAATAGTGTGTGTTGTAGTTAAATAATAACCAATTAATCKATTGTAGTAGTTTAGTAGCCAATTAATATGCAACATGATTAATAACATACAAAAGTGTACAAATGAGACTTATATATAAATGAGATATTTGGAATATAYAAATGARATTTTTGGAATAAAYGGCTTTGGCTCTTCACGAGGCTACAGACAYGCTTGGTGTTGCAGCCGCCCCATCAGCTCACTTACCGTAGGTGGGGAAGATGTAGCTGAGGACAGCCCGGAGCTCAGGGTTGGTGGTCAGCCCATCCACCACCTCCTTGACGCTGCGTGAGGCCAGGCGGGAGAAGGGRCAGAACCGCGGGAGCAGCCCCGAGTGGACCAGGAGCTTGACCAGGAACCGCGGGAGCATCTTCAGCATGCCCAGCACCGTAACTCCACGGCCAGCACTCTGCAGGGAGAGCACCAGGCCTCAGATACGCCCCCAAAAATGCTCCAAAGGATTTTTTTTTTCCCTTAAATTCACTGCTAGGCACCGTGAGGAGCAGTGGGCAAGGGGTGTGCTGACTCCTTCAAAAAGCGCCTCACAAAAACCTCTCTTAAGAAAAGTTTGCTAGAAAAAGCTCCCCCCAAAAGTTCCCCCAAAAAGCTCCCCAACCAAAACTCCTCAGAAAAAGTCCTCCTGAAAAACTCCCCTAAAAAAAAAATGGTGTTCAAAAATGCTTTCCCGAAGAACTCTGCCCGAAAATCTCCTCCAAAACATCTGCRATGCTGTGTTTTTGAGGCAGAAAAGGGCGATTTTGGATCGCCCAACACTTTTGGGTGATGCCATCACTCCCTGGGGGTGTCTCCAGGTGCTGGAGGGTTCCCCTCAGATCCAAACTCCCCTTGTTTTATCCCACCCAGATCTGCCTGTACCTTCACCAACCGCTGGAACTCATCGATGGCTGCCTCCTCCCCGGGGAACTGYTCCTTCAGCCTCTGGTAATATTCCCGCTTCCCGGAATACAGGTAGTAGGTCTTGCCACCAGCCTGGGGGTCCCCCAAAACCACGGCATCATAGGTGTCTGGGAGCTTGGCCCACTCTAGCTGCCCATCCGTCAGCTGGTCCATCAGGAACCGCATCAGGGACCTCTCCTGCATCTGCCCCACGTAGTGGATCCCTGAAATAAAACATTTTTCCTTTATTTTTTTCCTTTATTTCCCTTTTTTTTTTAAATTTTATTTTCCCACCTCAAGATGCACCTCTTATTTACCATCTCCACCCTATCAGCTCCATGTAGATAGGAAAGGGAAAACCTGGGATACACCCAGGGGCACATAGTGCTCCCCACTGCATTTTTAATTAGAAATTTGGGGAATTTTGTTGTATTTTTCCTGATTTTCTTTACACCAGGACATACAGGACCCTCCTCTTAGTTTTCCACCCCAACTGCAGCAGCTCCATGTGAAAGGTTAAGGGAAASTCTGGGATACACCCATTTCCCAACTGGGATCAAATGGCACTGGCTACAGTGTTTTTAATCAGTACTTTTAGAATTTTGTTGCACTTTGCTATTCATCTCTGCTGTAAATAATTAATCCAGAGATTCAGGGACGCACAGAGCCGGACTTTACCTTGCCACAAGGAGTTTGCCAAGGAAGATGTGCCCTTAGGTGACATCCCCCATGCTGGGAATTACATAGGGMCTGGATATGGGGGAATTTGGAGGGTTTGGTATCCTCCAGCCAGAGGATTTTGGGATGARGAGCAGAAAAATGGTTTGTCTAACACAAAGTGTGTGCTGGGGAGAACTGATCTGCACCCCAATGGGCACAGTTCCCACCCTGAGTGTATCTCATGTCCCTTGGATCCAAGGGGGGAATTTGGGGCTGCAAATCATACCAGTGTCAAACTCAAAGCCCTTCTCGGTGAAGGTGTGGCAGCAGCCTCCCAGTTTGCCGTGTTGCTCCAGCACCAGCACACGCCAGCCGGCCTTGGCCAGCATCGCCGCAGCCGCCAGGCCGCCCACGCCACTGCCCACCACGATGGCATCGAGCCCCTGAGGCACCTTCTCTGGCGAGAACACTGCAGGAAAACGGGGGCATCAGTGGGGGCACCCCGCGGCACGGGGGACCCCTGAAACCGCGGGGAGGGGGTGATGCTGTCTTGGGGGGTCATCCTGACACGGGGTGGGGGGATAATGGCACCCCGGAGGGTTAATGCACACGGGGGGACACAATGCCACCCCAGAGGGTTAATGCACACCTGGGGGACACAATGCCACCCCGGAGGGTTAATGGACACGGGGCGGGGGGGACACAATGCCACCCCGAAGGGTTAATGCACACGGGGGGGACACAATGCCACCCCGAAGGGTTAATGCACACGGGGGGGACACAATGCCAACCCGGAGGGTTAATGCACACGGGGCAGGGGGACAATGGCACCCCTGAGGGTTAATGCAAACGGGGGACGGGAGACAATGCCACCCCGGAGGGTTAATGCACACGGGGGACGGGAGACAATGCCACCCCGGAGGGTTAATGCACACGGGGGGGACACAATGCCAACCCGGAGGGTTAATGCAC